GCCGCACTGGACTGGCTGTGCCAGCGCCTGTTGCCCCCGCCGGCGGCACTCGTGGTGCTAGCTGCTGCCGGCTGGATCGCGTTGTCCCGCCTGGCGCGCCCTCCTCTCCTGCCCGTGGCCACTCGCGCGGTGCTCATCACCGGTGAGTGCGCAGAGCGCAGGGACTCCAGGCTGGAGGGCGGGACCGTACACCTAGAGGGATTCCCTTGGGCTCCATCAAGGCGGACTCCGCAGCTAGGAAGGGAGAGTCCTTCACTCCGAGATGCAAGAGAGTGCGCCAAGTAGGAAGCTCTGGGCACCTCACCAAGTCCGGGTTAACTACCTGCGACCGCAGGGAGTGTAGGAGGGAAAGTTAGGTAGGGAGTGGGCAGGTGCTCAAAGAAAACGAGTGACTGAGGAGAGGAGAGACAGAGTTTATGCAGTGCTGGTCCCTAAGATTCCAGGTGTGGAACAGAGGACAGTATTCTAAGGGATAGAAGACCCGAGAAAGGAGAATGCCATCCCTTGAACTCTGCCTGGAATACACTATCGGCTGTTCTCTAGAGACAGAGCGCTCAGATGCGAGTTCTGCTCCTCCTGACCTCCACTGGCTGGAATCCTTGGAGCTCTGAACCGCCTAAGGTCACAGCAGCTGGATAATAGCTGCTGCTTAGATCCAGTTACCCACTGCCAAAACTGCAGCGGTCTGCACCTAGCACTTCATCCTGCCTAGTCCTGGGTGCCCGGGAAAGAGGCTTTGGAGTGCTGGACTCAGGTGTCTCTGGTGCCTGGCTGAGCTCTCTTTGTCTGGAGCAGGGAATAAATCTGTCATCAGAGGGAGGGAAGGGGAAGGGGGGGCTGCAGACCCAGCAGGAAATGGGGAGGGGGAGGAAGGCCAGGGGGCATTGGTCCATTGCATGGGAGGAAGGGCAGCCTTATTTCTTCCCAAACCACCATGGCGGTTCAGAGATCTTGGTCCTTTATGGGTGGTCTGTGGGGTCGGATGGGGCTGGGAGAATTTAGGAGGAAATCCTTGAACTGGACCTTGGAGGACAGTGGGTGGAGACAGGTGGAATAAGAAAGGTGTCTTGGATCACAGAAAGGGTGTGGGACAAAGGCTTAAGACAGGAATATGCATAGGATTTGGGAAGGGGAATAATCAATAACCAGACAGGCTGTGGTGGATGTGGAATTTCCTTGGGAGGAGATCTGAACGTCAGGTGAGAAAGCAGACTGTACTAAGGTAGACGAGGGTGACACAGAGGAAGATGGAAGAGACTTCCAGGGTGAGTGGGAAGCCTCAGGGAACCCCAGTGTCAGGAGGTTGAGGAAAGAAAGCTACCAAACTCTCTTGGAACGCAGCGGGGACTAGGTTATAGGATCCCTTCCTTTTCTCTCATCTGAGCTATTTCACCAGGTCCTAGGCCATTTCAGGTTCTACTGGCCGGGCAAGGCAGTCTTTCCTAAGACCTCATTTAGGTCTTCGGTACTTCAGTCAGTTCTAGCCCTGAGCTCCAGCGAGAGGTGAGAAGCGGGATGCTTTCTGTGACCTGGGCTCCCTTCATCTCCTCCAAGCTCAGTGTTTGGGAGTGGTGAGGACTGCCCAGCCTACTCCTGTGTAAGACCGGAAGTTGGCGTCTAGCTTCCTGATGCCTGCAAATCCTGGGGTTTTCCCAGTCACCACCAAGCAGCAAGGCACTTAAGTGACCCGGTCCTGGCCACCCTGCCAAGTACAGAGCCTTCTGCCTGCAGAGCTGTCTCTCATTCCTCCCTGAGAATGCTCAAGAGCTGTTTGTCAAATCCACTCCACAAACTCAGCCATGGAGTCAAGTTTGGACTGTTTGGTGTGGAAGGAACCTTGTGTGCATGCATGTGTAGATCTTTGTGCGGATGGGTGACGGGTCAAGCTCATGTGTGAACATCCAGGCAGGTTAGGGATTTTTTTTTCATGTGAGCAAGAGGGTAAGATGTGGGGGTGACTGTTGGGACCCCAGAGCTAAAGCTCTGGCAGGCTTTAGTGGAGTGCTAACTGCTCCAGAAGGGTGCAGAGGCAAGTGTATTTGTGCACACGCAGTCCCCTCCCCCAGTCAGATTTGCCTGAGAAGGACCCCTCAACACAGGCTGGCAGGCCCCAGCCACACAAAGCCCAGTTTGCAGCCCCCTGCCCAGCTTTGTTCTCCTCTCAGCATAGGGGGCGGGGCTGAGACGAGGAGGGGTGCTGTTTGTCCAGGAGTGGGGAAGCCGAGCTGCAAAGCAGCTTTTCTGCTCAGCAGGACCTCGGGGCTGGCGGGCTCCACAGCACCTCCTCCTTCACTGGCCCTCCTCCTCCTCTCACTGGCCACCCACAGAGCCAGGATCAGAATGGAAACCATCAAGGAAGCAAGGGCTTATCAGTACCAGGGACCCCCACACTGGGGCCTTGCCTGGTGGTTCTTATCTCTGCATACCAAGGACAGGAAAATGAAGCCTCCATGAGTGGTAGCCGACCTCAGGTCACACTTGGTGGTGTGGGAAGGGATTCCAGTGCAGGTCTGTTTTCTCCACTTACCGTGCATGCTTCCTATCCTGAGAGGCAAGTGGTCTGGGGCTCAGCAAACATATATGGCCAAAGTCAGTGATTGGAATTCCAAGGGTAGATTTCAAGGGGAAGTTGGAAATGGAGCGCCAATTTGAGCCTGGAACAATAATAGGGGACTGATAATAATAATAATCGAGGCTGATAGGAGTGCTCAGGTTGAACAGGGCCAGGATGATGTCATCAGAGAGCCGTGGCTTTATTCTAAGGCCCATAGGATCCTGAGGAAGCAAAAAGCCTCTGGGAATTAGCTGTAGCAGAGTGATACTGTCATTTTTTTTTTTTTTTTTTTTTGAAAAATATCCCTCTGGCTTAGGCAGTAAATTCAGGAGACAAGATGGGGCCAGCTTAGGTCTCTGTTTCTTCTCTAAAGTTTATCAGTCACACTTGAGGGATTAGCTATAGGGAATCAGGGAGGTGACAGCTGTCACAAAATTGATGCTCAGGGCTCAGTCAAGAGGACAAACTTATAACACATTTATTTGTAAGGAAGGAGGGTTAAGTGTTCAGGAGCCTAGATTCCACCCGGATACTGGTGATCCTTTTATTGTCTTGGGCTGGGCTGGGCCATTGTGAAGATTCATTGGCTATCTTACTCTGGTTAGGTTGTGACTCTGGTTTTGGCAAGGAGGCAGCTAAGAAACTGGATGCCATGGGCTTCATGGTGCTGGCCACTGTGTTGGACTTGAATGGCCCTGGTGCCCTAGAACTGCGTGCCTGCTGTTCCTCTCGCTTAAAGCTGCTGAAGATGGACCTGACCAAGCCAGAGGACATCAGTAGTGCGCTGGAACTCACCAAGACTCACACCACAGGCACTGGTTAGCAGAAGTGGCTCCATTAGGGCTGGCCATGGCTGGGTGAGTGTGAGGGAGGTGGCTGCCCTGAAGCTTCCCTCCTGCTTTTGTGCCCTCAGGCCTGTGGGGTCTGGTTAACAATGCTGGCCTCAACAGCATAGTGGCTGATGTGGAGCTGTCTCCAGTGGCAACTTTCCGAAAATGCATGGAGGTGAACTTCTTCGGTGCACTTGAGCTGACCAAGGGCCTCCTGCCACTCCTGCGCCACTCAAGAGGACGGATTGTGACCGTTGGCAGCCCAGCAGGTAAGTGCCCTTCCACTCTGAGGTGCAGTAGTAAAGGAGTTGCTATCAGGTGAAAAGCGGTTTGGGGAACACCTGGCCTCTTCCTCATTCTGTCCAGGAGATATGCCGTACCCCTGCCTGGCAGCCTACGGCACCTCCAAGGCGGCTGTGGCACTGCTCATGGACACGTTCGGCTGTGAACTGCTTCCCTGGGGGATCAAGGTCAGCATTATCCAGCCTGGCTACTTCAAGACAGGTGAGGGTTAAGTTTGGGGTGGGACACGCGTGTGGTCTGAGGATCCGGTGTGGCTTGGGTTATAGGCACAGTTCACCTTAAATAGGGGCCTCTGGCTCCTCCAGCAGCTGTCTTCTGACCTTGACGTCCCTCCTTCAGAGGCAGTGACCAATGTGAACCTCTGGGAGAAGCGCAAGCAACTGCTGCTGGCCAGCCTGCCTGGAGAGCTGCTGCAGGCCTATGGTGAAGACTACATCGAGCACGTGCATGGGCAGTTCCTGCATTCGCTCAGCTCGGCGGTGTCTGACCTCAGCCCGGTTGTAGATGCCATCATCGATGCACTGCTGGCAGCTCGGCCACGCCGCCGCTATTACCCAGGCCGTGGCCTGATGATCATGTATTTCATCCACTACTACCTGCCAGAGGGCCTGCGGCGCCGCTTCCTGCAGAATTTCTTCATCAATCACTGTCTGCCCCGAGCACTGAGGCCTGGCCAACCTGGCCCCACTCCTGCTCAGGACACACCCCAGGACCCAAACCCTTCCTTAGTGGCAGCTCGGTGAGCCACAGATGGTCTAAGAGCTCCAGCAGGAAAGGCTCCATGAGCCCTCGGCCCTCTTTCCTAGCCATTATAAACCCCTCAACCTTGCCCCAGAACAGTTTTTAAACTGTGGGTCTGACCCCTTTAACAAATTTCTATCTAAGAATATTTACATTATGATTCATAACAGTAGCAGAATTACAGTTATGAAGTAGCAACAAAAATAATCTTATGGGTGGAAGTCACCATATCATGAGGAACTGTATTAAAGAGCTGCAGCATTAGGAAGGTTGAGAACCACTGCCTAGAATTTGTGTTAAGAAAAGCCCAGACTCCATTGCTGATGCCTAGTCCAGACCTGGGAAGCTGAAGTTTGCTAGTGAGCCTCTGAACCTCTCTACTGCTTCATGAACCCACACAGACCCTACCAGGCACAATGTCCATACTGCAGCTTTGGGGACCCAGCTAGATAGAGAGTTTGCAAGATTATCTGTAACCTTTGATAGGATGCACAGATTATTTCTCTGCAAACCAAAAGCCAGAGGGCACCTCCTCAGGATTCTCTTGGCACCAGTGCCTCAGTGCTACAAGTTCAGAGTAAATCCCAACTGTCTCTTGACTGGCTCAAGAATTAGGTCCCCAACTACTTGATCCCAAGCCATAGGGAAGCTATATATTGTACTTGCCTGGCCGTTGGCATTTAAAATAAAGACACATTTTTATTTCTCCTAGAATGGAGATCAGTGTTTGAAGGAGTGGCTGCCTGGTTGCCTGGGTGACAGGGTGTGATTATGTCGCAGAGACTGGGAACTGCCTGGGACAACCTGGGACCAGCAGGGGACCTGACTGAGTTTCCCAGGCACTCTGTGGTCCATATCCCTCTTCTACTGACCTCAGGAGGCAAACAAATCACTTATCCCGATATCTGGCTTTCTGCATAGTGAGATGAAGGTGAAGCAGTTAGGGAGGTCTGGTGCCCCCAGAGTAAAGATACACTCCTCTCTAACAAGCCCCACCTCAGCCTATCTCTGCCTGAGCTCCTAGCAGGAAGAGCCTCCTCCAGGGACTCCCCTGACACTGTGGCTGCTGACTGCAGGAAGGGCTCAATCAGGGTGCAGTGATGAAGAAAGTCAGGAGGCAAGGAAAGGTTCTAGGATTTAAAAGAGGCAGTAGACAGGAGACTTTTTAAAGAGAGGATTTTATTGTCTCAGAGAGGCAGAGCTGAAGGAGAGAGCTACAAAGCTACTTCCCCCACACCCCAAAGACACACACTCTTTAATCTTTCCAAGGGCTATTGCTCTGGGAATGAGCCATAGAGGGACAAGGAGGCTCACACTGCCCAGGGGTTCCCAGGTCAGGGAGGGACATGAAAGTGACACAAGTTCCTTAGATATGTCAGTGGCCATAAACAGAGGGCTGGGGGCTCTTTGCTCTGGAGGAATCTTGGTTCATTCTTCATCAGGGGAGAGGTCCCTAATCCCTTTTAGGCCTAAGAGCAGTCCCAGAGGGGATTGTGGAAACTGAGCAATCCCAGGACAACGTGCTACACCTCACCAGGTCAGACAAGTGAGTCATGGGCTTCACCACAACACACAAAGACACACACAGTGCATTTGGGAACCTTGAGTTAGAATGCTAGAAGATGGGGATATAGTTGTCAATCTTGGCGCGATGGCGCTGGGCGATGCACTCAGCAATCCACACAATGTTGCGACACTCCTGTTCCTTAAGCTTCACAAAGGCATAAAAGACACCAAAGTGGAACTGATTCAGGAAGGCCAACTTGTTCAGCTTCACCTGTGGACAGATGCAGGTGTGATGACAGGTGGCTGTGGCCAGCAGTATAAGCCCTAAGTCAAACCCTCCCTATAACTGGGTAGGCTCCACAAGGGCCCTGTGCTCACCTCATGTTCAAAGAATCGGTCTTCCAGGGTCTTGTCTCCAGGATTGCTACCTGCACCCTCAAAAAGCAGTTTGTATTCCTGGTCAGGAAATGGGGAGAAACAGGTATGAGTGTTGTTGGGTGCTGGGGGTGCCAACATGGTCACCTAAATCTTGTCAGCCAGGGCACTCACCGGGTAGTAATCAGCTACATTCTTGACCTGTTCATAGTCATCAGCCCGAGCCAGCTGAGCCAAGCCCTCAGGGTAGAGTCGGCCACAGTGTGGAAAGAGTTTGGCACGGTCCTCCTTGGATAGCTCTGTCCCAAAAGAGTTGATGGTGATGATGAAGGCGCGGCGGTCTGCTTCAAACTTCAGGGCCAGTGCATATGTGAGGAGAGAGAGAAGATGAGGGAGACCATAGCCAGACCATGGCAGAGCTCCCCTTGGCAAGGATCAGTGGGAACAAAAGGCAGAAAGGTAGGGCAGGCACTCACCTCTAGGATAGGACACATGGCATCAGCTGTGGTCCCACCCAACAGAGTGCAAAACTTGTAGAAGGACTCCAGATAGGCCTGCAGAGAGAACTGTGTTTGCTTAGAGCAAGGAGAGCAATGCTGGGGGATTTATTAGGAACCTAGTCAGGGGCTGAAGAAATAGTTTAATGGTTACAAGCACTTACTGCTCTTCCAGAGGACCCGGATTCAATTCCCAGCAACCACATGGTAGCTCACAACTACATTTCCAGGGAACCTGACACCCTTACATAGGCATACACACAGGCAAGACACCAGTGCACATTAAAAAAACAAAAATAGGGACTGGAGAGATGGCTCAGCAGTTAAGAGCACTGCCTGCTCTTCCAAAGGTCCTGAGTTCAATTTCCAGCAACCACATGGTGGCTCACAACCATCTATAATGAGGCCTGGTGCCCTCTTCAGGCATGCACGTAGACAGAATATTATATACATAATAAATAAATAAATAAATATTAAAAAACCTAAAAAACAAAAACATCCACAAACATAAAGAAAAAAGAAAAAGAAACGTAGTCAGTTTACTTTCCTCCCTCTAAGCCTTCTATGGTCGGGATGGGTCAGCTCATTCTATGACAATTTCCCTGCACCAAAACATCCACCAATTTCAACCGCTAACCCAGCCAGCAGTAGCTTGCTGCTTTCTATCTAGGGTGACAAAACAGTTTCTGGCCCACTGTCTGCTTCAGGTACATGTTTCCACCGCTTTCTTTTGGACAACCAAGCTGGGGGGGGGGCTCTGTCTTCTTCCTGCTGCTCTGCTTCCTTTTCTCCTAGTCTCCTAAAACCTCCCTTCCCCAGACTCAGAAAACCAGGTATCCAAGAGCTAGTGAGGGAAAGTTATCCTCAGAATTTACAATTGGTCTGAACTGAATCCATAAGCCCACCTTGCAGAACACTATTTCTCCTACCCCCAGGCAGCCCCTTGGCATTAACAGCAGGAACCAAATTATCAGGTCAGTTCCTGCTGAAGGATGGTTATCGCCTATGTGAACGCAGGCCTCACAGTCAATAATTAGGTACATGGGCTGCCTGCGGAAACAAGTACTTTTTGTCCAGGCAAATTGAATCTGCTGAGAATAAGGAAAGGACAGGTCAGCCCCAGATACAAAGTCTTTCCCGATTCTCATTCATCAGGTCACACAAGTTTCTTTCCAATACCTTCCTACCCACTCCCCATGATCTTGCAGACTCCATGGGTAACAATGGGAAACTTCACTCAGAGACCACCTAAGGTTCCATACATAGCATAGTCACAGAGACTCTGGATCCATATACTAAAGACTATCCTGAGTTGGGGTGGGTGGGCTTGCAAGGTATGAAGAACTTTCCATATTCAGGTGTGCCTTTCAAGCTGGCTTGGACCCACAGTCCTGCCATTCCAAGATAGATGAGCTGAGACCCAGGGCCCCACAAGCACAGTGACACTATGCAAGATGAGCTCAGTGAGAATCTGCAGGTGACCACAGAGCTCACAGGAAACAAAAAGCTAGTATAAGTCCGCAGTAAGAAAAATCCTGGAGGCCAGGTGGTGGTGGCACATGTCTTTAATCCCAGCACTTGGGAGGCAGAGGCAGGCAGATCTTTGAGACCAGCCTGGTTTACAAAGCAGATGCCAGACACCTAGAGCTATTACACAGAGAAATTCTGTCTCGAAAAAAAAAAAAAAAAGAAGAAGAAGAAGAAGAAGGGGGAGGGCGGGGGAGGAAGATAGAGTCCAGTGCAGAGGATCTCAGAGAATCCAAAGTCTGCAGGCAGAAATGGTTCCCAGCTCCCACCAAGGCTTGGTGGTACTTCTCAGTCTCCAGGAGTTAGTCCTCCATAGCCTCCCTTATGGCCAGCCAAGCTGGTTACGCTGGAATCGTAGGACCTCTTGGAGCCTGTATCCCTAGAGGAGCCTGCAGTTCATATCTGTAAGGGAAACCACTAGCCAGATTTTAGGTTCCATGCCCTGTTGCCTAACCTGTTTGCTGAGCCCCAGAAAAGCTGACCCTATGGTTAAGATCTACACTTTCCTCCAGAGGCTATAGCAGCAAAGAAACTGGCAAGACCCAGGTACCAAGGTCACCTCCCCAGCCCCACCCTGTACCCTGGAGTCTGCCAGCCCATGGTTCTGCACCAGCTGCCTACAGTTTACCTGTCAGACATCTGAGGGTCCACCTAATCTCCCATCTGGGGCCACTGGGCTGGGACACTCATTGCCTGACAGGCAGGCAGCTCTGGCATGGGGTTCATAGTGTTGGATTGGTGTTTATGAGCTGGTTCCTGGGCAGTCCTTGCCAGTGACTCCAGCTAAAACCAGTCAGGCCCAGTGAGGGTGTGGGTAAGGCCAGTCCTCATCCTGTCTGGGGCAGGGAATTTGTCAATGAGCCAGGTGAGTGGGAGGGACAGTATAAAACTTTGTATGTATATGTGTGTGTGCCTGCATGTACCCCTTCCCTCTACTCTGCCTTCCTTCCACCCTGTAGTCATAGATAGAGGGCCTTCTAAGAATACTTTGCTCTGTTAGAAGACTTTAGGCTCATAGCCTAACATCTGTTTTGTTTTTTTTTTTTCACATTTAACTATTTTGTGTGCATGTACATGCAAAGGTCAGAAGACAATTAGTGGGTATCAGTTCTTTCTTTCCACCATGTGGTTCCCAGGAATTAAACTCAGGTTGTCTAGCTTGTCAGTAAACATCCTCATTTCCTGAACCATCTTGCCAGACCAAACTTCAAACTTACCTTTTTTGATTATTGTTGTAGTTTGTTTTGTCACAGGGTCTTAGCCCTGGCTGTCCTGAAACTTAATACATAGACTCAAACTCACAGAGAGTAGACTGCCTCTGTCTTCTGAGTACTAGATCTGAAGGCATGTGCTACTATGCCTAGCTTACCTTTTTTTCTTGAGACAGGCTCTTACTACGGAGACCTGGTTGACCTGGAACTCACAACATACATAAGATAATCTTGAACTCAGCAAAAATTCTCCTGCTTGAGATTTCTGAGCATTTTGAGGTATGCACCACCACTCCCAGATCAAACTTTTGATCTGCCATTCAAGGCCCTGGATGACTTGGCTCAGTGCCTGTCTCTTCATTTGGATCTCCTCCCCATTAACCATGTAAAACCTATACTTTCACAGTAAACCCCTTGCCATCTGGTCTAGCCCATGTTCCTTGCTTTCTTTTTATGTGTCACCCCTCTGCCTACACTATTATAACTTTGATCATCTACCACCAAATCCTTGCTGTATGTTGACCCAGGCTCCACAGAAAGACAAGAAGATCTGATAGCTACCTCTTAATCTCTTCCATGACTGAATGAACCTAAGAATCCCAAGCCCACTCTCTAACCCCAGAGGCTAGCCAGTCTATGGCACAGCCTAGTGGGAAGCAAAAGGCAAGTAGAAGCTGAAGACAGTGAGATATAAGGTATTGGCTCAGGGTCTGGGAACCTGAAAAGGTCATAACAAACTGACTGTGCTTGGCTGGATTCCTCCCCCCACATAACTAAGCATACAATACTGCCTTTGCCTAAATGCCTGTCCTGGCTGTCAAAAGCTCGTGTGGTATAGATCTGAGGGCTATGGCCTGGGTTGTAGCCCATGACCCTCCTGGATGCTACAGGAGTGGCTGTCTAGAAGCCAGGTCTGTCAGGATAAGTGACGGAGCACCAGCCACTCCTGCTGATGTTATCTGAGCCTGCTGCAGACACCACAGAATAGATAACCTGTTCCATGCAACCTTGCAACCATCACAGGAGCCTGAGATGAGCTAGGTCTCCAGGACAGGAGCCTGGTGCACAAGAATCCTGGCCCAGCACCTCACATAAATCACCCCCTATCAGGCCCACAGACCCACCCACTGACAAGTCACTCCCCCATGCTTCTAAAGAACATTACCTTGTAAAGCGTATTGCGGATTATCTCGATGTTCATCTCATCAAGGTCCTGCTCTGAGATGCAATCCTGGAAAAAAGCCGCTGAGGAGGGAAAACAAAGATGTGAAGAGTGGGTAAGCAGCCTAAGTGAGAGGGCCCACATCACAAGGCCCACTAGGCTAGGTATTGGGGACCCCCAATACAGCCTGGGATACTGTCTTGGAAGTAGTAGAAGCAATTCTCGGGGCCATGTGCACTGACCTGAGCTTTTCCTGCCTCCTTGCTCCTAAAATTGATTTATAAAGGAGGCGGCCAGCCATAACATGATCTAATCGCTGCTGGGGCAGACCCAAGTTTAGACCATGCCAAAGACAGGCTTGCATAAGAGGCCATGACATTCTCTTTCTCCAGGGGCAGCTATGGATTTGGGGGCTGAAATTCACTGCACTGTATACCCTCTGAGGGCCTAGTGCCCACATATGGGAGGCTAGCCTCCTCTTTCAAGTAATAGTGAGCTCAGTAGCTAGGCATGGACTAGTCCCACTGCAGGACTAAGAGGAGAGGCTAAGGCAGGATCAAGAAATCTTGCTCCCAAGGAGGACCTGAAGACTTACCTTATGGCTCTCCTTTAAAGATGAAGAAACTTCAGAAGCCACAAACAGCCCAGAACTAGCTCAGAGTTACTGAGAGAATCAAAGGCAAACTAGGTGAGCAGATATGGCTGGTGCTTTTCAGCCTAGAATCTTCTGATTCAGCTCTGGTGGCTTTCTGGAATAGTTCCCCAGGGTTTAAACTCTGGCTGTAAAAGCACTAGCTAGTTGTGATCCTCATGCCTTCTTTCAGCATTCTAGGCAGACAGGAGCCAATACTAGTGAGGCGGGACTAACAGAAAGCTATCCTGATTCCCCTCCCTTTCTTGGCCTCTGACATGGACCCTGTATCCTCCCGGACACTGTCTGACCTGGCCCCTAGGACTTTCTCAGTGGAATCAAATAAAGCTATGTGCTTCTCTTTTTCACCTCATAAGGAGCCAGTCATAGTACCCCTGCTCAGGGAATTCTAAAAACTAGACTATTTCCAAAGTTAGATAGTCTAAGTCTGGCCCGTGGGTTGGCTATCTGGCCTAGAAAAAGCAATGGGAAAGGAGAAGTGGGATGTGAAACAATGAGAATGGGAAGTTGAGGAAAGGGCAAGGTCAGCAGCAACAGGCAGACTCTCACTTTCTGCTTTGGGGCTGCCCCACCTCTTTCAATCCACAAAACCCACACCGAGGCTCTAATGCTAAGACCACTGTCCAGCTGCTGTTTCCACCACAGTGGCTCACCCAGGGGCGTGTCCACCAGAATGGCATTGTAGAGCTCTGCAGGTGTCTGTGCGATGTTCACGGCCTCCATCTGCTCAAAGCTGCCTAGTGGGTGGCACTTGGGCACAAGTTCAGCGATTGAACGCTGGTGCAATGTGCCTGTGATGAGCAGGATCACGTTGTCAATCATGTAGCTATAACTGTGAGAAGCAGACAACAATAGGGCAGACTATTAGGGTAGAAGGCCTGGCCCAATACCCTTGCCGACACAACGCATGGGTCAGCACCTCCTCAGTGTTAAGTGCTGGCTCATGGATGCTATGATAGGCTCCAGAGGCACTGTCCTTTGGTACCTCTCCACTCAGGTTCCTGTCACCACAGCCACCACTACCTCCCTACCCCCAATAACAGGAACACAGAGTAAATGCAGCCTCTCCTTTGAAAGGATGGTGGATTCATGCTTCACAAATGACAGGAACACAAGTCACTCTCCTACAGTGTGACAAGTAGGACACAGGAATGGTAGGCACATGCAGGTGAGGTACACACCCCATCCCAGGGGTAGGTTTGGTCAGGAGCTTGACAGATAAAAGGACTTGGAGATAAAAGTGTGTTCTTGGAAAGAGGGAACAGTATACAGAGGCCTGGAGGGACATACTGAGTACTGTCAAGACTGGCAGAGGGAAAGGGAGGGCACAGCAAAGGGCTGCCTGGAGACTGAGCTCAGGCCAGGCAGAGGGTTTCAACTTCATCTCAAGCACTAAGGCTGTAAGTGGGCTGAAAACAGGATAGCATTGTATAGTTAAGGCTATGCTGGCTCCTTTGATTTGGGGGGAACAAAGGAGGGAGGGGAAAGGCTAAGGAATGGGCTGGGGAGAGGCTTCTCTAAGGCCAGAGAAGCGTTACAGAGGCCCCATTTAGAATAAAGGACTGGGTTAAGGAGACTGCACAGCTCCACTATGAAGAGAGAAAAGTACATTCCTCCTTAGAGCCAACTGTTCAGGAGGGCTGCAAGAAACTCAGAAGCTAGTCTGACTCAAGTTGGGCTTAGTCTCTTTAGGCATGCCCTGCAAGAAAAACAACTCTGTCTACCATGGGCAGCAGAGGGAGCTGTGGAGCTGGGGAGGGTGGGGCTGCCTAGTTAAGACTTGGCAAGGAACAACCAAGACAACTTGTCTCCAGCTGAAAAACACAGTCACAGAGGAGCTGGGGCACAGAGTTTTGTGTAATCACCTATGGGGAGGAGGGACAGCATAAAGAAGAGGAGAGGACCCCAGCTACAGTCAGGCTGCAGTGGTCCCAGGTATGACCCAAGCTGGATTAGGGTCCAGCAGTAAGTAACTCAAGTAGTAAACTCAAGAGTATAAAGGAGCCGGATTAGGCCCCAGGAGAATGTCCTTAAAGGCCTGGCCAGGCCAAGAAAGGGTAAGGACTAAAATGGAGGCTACTGTGAACTGGACCCTGATCACAGGTCTTGCTCTGTTTCTAGGTGGGCTACAGTCCATCTCTGTGACATATCTTGAGTACCTAGTGCTGAGACTGTTTAGGAAAGGCCCTGGTAGCCCAGTACCAAGGGAATAAAGGGGAAAAGGTAGGTGATCCAGAGCCCATACCTCAGCTTAAAGAACCAGCCACTGGGACATTCCTATAAGGCCCTCAAGGAAGGTGTAAGAAAATGTGCCAGCTCCTGTTCCATCCCAACCCATACTCTTTGTGCCTGTGCAGCTCCCACCCAGTTTAATGTCATTACAACCTCTGGTCTCCTGGGCCTGGGGCTAGGCAGCGGCCCTCTTTCCATACTCAATCTGTCTGGGTCATTACAGGATATACACTGAGAAGAGACAGTCTCCCCCTTAAAAAAACCAAGGGCCTCAGGCAAGGCCCATCTGGAATTGCAAGCCAAGAGGCCCATATGGCCAGCCTCCCATCCCTGACTCCACAGAACTGGCAGAGTGGGGGGAGAGCAGAGAGAGTGGGCCTGCCAGAGCTTTTTGTGCTTTGGCCTCAAACTGTATCTCCTCCACTCCAGAAATCTCCTGCCACTGACATCTTCTGTATCTCATATCCCAGGACACACATATCACCCCTCATTATTTAACCCGCACCCAATCCAGCCCCACTAAAATCTATGCACCTCCAGAGACAGCCACAAAGACCCCACCCCAGAGCTTAAGAATGCCCCTTTTCCTCTTAGACCTTTGGAAACGCTGAAGAACAGTACATCCCTTGAACCTACATTATTCAAGTGATCTGTGGCTTAGCAGCGTGGCAGATAAACCCAGAGTGGGCTATTACCAGACCTATCTCAGCATCAGGCTCTAGCCCCACAGCCACCTATCGCTAGTGCCTTCTACTCTAGTTCTAAACTCCCCACCTCTGTCTTCTCAGAGCGACCCCACAACCCAGTTTCCTCATTCTAAACTTACCCTCTTGTGCCCACAACCCAGGGTCTCCTTTATCTGTTTAGACTAGGGGTAAGGCTGGAATAAGAGCCCAAAGGTGTCTGAGTATTTCTGAAGGTCCTGGTCCAGCCTCAGAAGAAAATCCTGTCGATCCTGTAGGGAGATGCTGCCACCTGACTTCACTGTGCTAGTCTTGCCTTCCAGTGAGTGGAAGAAGCCAGCTGTGCTTCACATTTCAGCTCTGACAGTGTCTGCAGACGCCAGTAGTGGCTCTCCCCTCCTTTCTTCCCCAAGACTCTCTTTCCTACAAGCTTTAGTTGAGCACAGAGGGAAATGTTGGGCCAAGTAAGGGCCACTCAAATCATAGCACTCAGCTCCTTCTATTCCTCCTCCTACTCAAGCCAGGCCAGCCTCTACCCTGTGCCAGGCTGAGCACTTCCCTCCCTTTGGGCCAACTGTAAGGTTGTTGCACTGGAGGCCCCTATTTCCCTTGCACAGTAAGGCTCAAAATTCTCTTTCCTGGGAGATGAAAGACCGGACAGGCCTGGCGGAGATGATAAGATCCAGTCATACACCTTCCTACCTTCAGCAAGCAGAGAACCTTCCCCTCTGCTTAGTGCTTCAGCAGTTGCCTCCCTGCCCCCAGAGAGCTGCTCTGCCATGTCTCCCCTCATTTGGCCTCAAAAGAGAGAATGAAGTTCCAGCTGGTCAGCATCTCCCTCCAGAGGAAGACAGCTGGGGAGTGGATGGCCCGCTGCCCGCCAGGCCAAAGAGGCCCTTTTGGGGTGGGGGTAGGGCAGTCTATAATCCTCTGCCCTGAGGCCCTCCCTTGCTTGCCCTGTGCCTCCAAATAGCTTGAGCTGGGAGAAGTCTCAGGCTGGAGGAAGCTACTTCCTTCAAAGAAGTCTTTAGAGTCCCTAGCCGACCCTGTCCCTCCTCTGTGCCCTTTGGTGCCACCTGCTGGAGCACCACAACTTTCTAGTACTTGGGCTGGGAAGCTGTGTGTAACCAGGTACTCCTGCCAACTTATCCACCTGCAGCCACCACCAAGAGTCCTCATTTGTTGCTAGTGATAGTATCTGTATTCAGTTTCCATCTAGGTTCTCAAGAGCCTTACCCAGGCTTGAAAATGAACAGAGGTTTCTGCTAAGGCCTCAGCACCTCACTTCTTAAGCCTCAAGTTGCCCTTTGCAACCAGAATGAATGAGATGTGGTCCACAGAAGAGACAGTGGTCTCTGACCTCCTCCAAGGCCCACTTGAATTATCCCATCCGATTTGAACCTTTGGGGCCCTAAACAACCCCTCACAGTGGTGCTTTCCCCCAAGCCAAAAGAACAGGGTCAGTACTGGCTCTCTCTCTTTCTATGCTAGGGAAAGACAAAGAAACAGAACCCAGAGCAGCCCTAGAGCCTTAGTTGGTAGAGAACTGTAGTCCACCCGCACACTCAGCTTACTGGGAACAGTCAGGATAGAGCCCAATGCTCTATGACCAAGCATGTCCTAAGAGGATAAGAGATGCTTTGGTAGGCTTATTGGACACTTGAGGCCATTGTCCTAGGACAAAGCTTCCTTCCAGTAGTCCACTTTAGCTGATGGCAATTCTCCCAGATGGTACAGGTTAACCACAGTTCCTGCCATTGGGCATGTAGGCTACAGGCAGGTGTTATCCACTGGGGATGGCTCCTGCTAGAGGTTTACCTGTTTAAAAACAAGGGCATTTAGGGTCCACCTGAAGATACCCCAGAGACCAAGCTTACTCTCCTAAAAACAAGTTTCTCAACTTTTCTTCCAGGGCTGACTGGTCTATGGGAAAACATCATGGAATAGGCCAGATAAAGATCTTCTCCAAAGTAAAAACAAAAACCACAAAAACCCGAATACAAGTCCTATCCCAAGTGTCACAGCAAGTTAATGGCTAGACCTGGCAAGAGTCCTTGGTATAATGGCATACTAAATACGTCACCACTATAAAACTGAGCAGGGTCGCCTCAAGACCACATGCTAACAGTCCACTCCACTTTGACTGTCTTCACTATGCCAGACAACCACCTCTACTGTCACTGTCTGTTCTCTCAGCGTCACTATCCCTCTGAACCCTCGGACCTTCCGCCTGGCATTGGCTCTGAACTCAGCTAGAGTCCTTCAGTCTAGATTCCCACCCCAGTTCTTCCCTCAAACACCTTTCTCCTCAGACAAGTAGCTATTCCTTGTGGGGAACCAGTCATCAGTCCCATGCTCCACTCACCTCTTTCCAAAATTCTATTTACACCTGACTAATCTGCTAGGGCAGTGGAAGAGAAAGAGCAACTGAGAAAATGGGAGTTAAGTTAGTCAAATATGAGAAAAGAAACTGCTGGGGGCTGGACACTATCAATGGCCAATCCTGGAGACCTTGCCTTAAAGGTCTTTGATCCTTAAAGGATTAAAGGCCTTGATGTGGAGGGACTTAACTTCTAGGAGATGACTGCAGGTTTGAGAGATAGGGGAGGAGAGGGAAAAGATGAGGAATGTGAAAATACAGGTGGCATGAAATGAGCTTTTAAGGGTGGTTAACGATGCTAGAGATTCAGGTAGATAGTGCTAGAAGCACATGGAGGAATCTGAAAGGGAAGGTGGCAACACAGAAATAAAGAGGAGGGGGCCACTCGGGGTCCAGGAAGGGGTAAGGGAATTCTGAATGCTGGTAGATGGATCTCAGGGAAAGGAGGGCAGAATGGACTTAGGGGGTGGTATGCAGATGCAGTGTTGGAAGGTGTACTGGCTACTGATTACATTGTAGAGGAGTAGGTGGGCCATTTGCCCAAAGATGAGGAAGCTGGAGGCAGGAGAGGAATGATGTTTAGGATGGGGAGGAGTCAACCTACTCTTGGTGGAAGTTGCAAGGTGCTGATTAGGGACAGCAAAAGGTTACTGGGCAGAAACAAGCTGAGGCTAGCTGAGTAGGTAAGCATGTATGTCTGTTAGTAGGAATGACACTCCCCACACCCCACCAAATAGCTGGCTTCCCCAGCTTTGCTCCCAGCAGTGGAGGTGGAGGGAGGATAGCTCCAGGCTGGAGGTTCTGGGATTCCTCCAGGGCTGGGGGGCTGCCAGTCGGGTGGGACCCTAAGTCGGACAGCCAAGAGAGTTGCAGATGTTGGCAGAAGACAGCTCAAATGATAGATCGGGGAACCTCAGCTAGGGAGGTAAGGAAATGAACACAGAGGGATAGCAGGGAAAGCAGCAAAGCCCAGTGTCCTGCTGAATCCAGGACCCATGCCCTGCAAGGAACTGAAAGTGGGCTGGAGAACCTGAAAGTTGTGGGTGGAGGTTGGTGGCCTGACTCAGCGATTTCAGGAGTGTAGTAGTTCCAGGTGGTGGCAGAGCAGTCATCAGTGAGGGGTGGCTGATGTGGAGAGCAGAGGAGCAGGCACTGGGGATGAAGGGGTCATGGACAAGCAGCCACAAGCTCAGACTAGCCAGCACGTGGCTGCAGAGCTGTTTCTGAGTGGGGTTAGATGGGAAGGCTATAAGCCACAACCGCCCATGAATGGAAGAGGCGCGGAAGTGGAGGATTCAGACAGCTTGCCACAAGATAGTACTTGGCTGCTTTAAGCACACTTGGTGCTTGGAGCCAACCTCCAGCAAAGAGCTGGCGGCTGCTCTGTCTCAGTCACACTCAGAGCCCTCTCCAGTTTCATAGCCTGGCAGGCTGACACCAAAACAGGCCAGGGTAGATGCACAGGCAGGTGGGTAAGTTGGCAGCAATACGGATAACATCTACTCTCTGACCACTGGCATGGGGTCAAGCTTCCTCTAGCCAGCCTAGCTGGCAAGACCAGAACATTCACCAGGAAGCTGAAGAAGCCTTGTGCAAACAAGTTGAAGGTGAAGGCTGAGCTCTGGCAATAAATTCAGTTTCCTGGTATGTCCTTGGCTCTGGCCTTGGGGCAAGGGATACAGGCCCAGGCTAGGAGTTAGGTGACAGATGGTAGAGTGATGTGTCACACACACACACACACACACACACACACACACACACACACACACTGGCAGCACATGATCTACTCCATGTCCCTGTCCCACTAGGTCCATCTTAGCATACCTTGACAGGAGAAAGGTGGTTTGAGCATGAGCCCAGCTAGGACTCCCCAGCAAAGAGGTACCTGGGGAAGGAGATCTACAGCCTCCAGGAAAAAGGTTTGTTTTCCAGCTTATGAGAGTTCTCTGCAACTTTCAGGTGCCCCTTTTACCTGAGGAGCCCTCTGCCTAAATACTCCATTTGAGTAGATGGATTCTGCGCAACTGGCTGCTCTTGACTAAGAGGGAGAGTCAGGCTAGGCAGCCAGCATATAACCCTCGCTCTAAAGAGAAACAAATGGAGTAATGTGTCTGGTCCCAAGCAAGAGGGCAGGGAATGGGAAAACCAAGAAACTCAGAAGAATATGGAGATACATTTCCTAACAACATACACTGCACAGCACACTCAGAGGCTGGCCATTGATCATACTTCAGCTCACCACTTGCATGAAGCTGCCATCTGGGCTAGAGTCATTCTTTGTCTGTCAGGATCTGGCTTACCCCACTCCTAGGTTATTCCTTCAAAGGCAATCTCTCTACTTTTCAGAGTCCCAGGTACACAGGACTAGTCCAAATAACTTCTTCAAGTCCTGAAGTCCAGGTTCTTCTCTGCTTAGCTTCTCTAAAAGCTTGGTATAGGCAGAACTCCACCCAAGGGTCCCACAATGAGGATGCATGGTGCAACCAAGGGTTACTATAAACATGGGGGGGGTGCTAACCATTCTAGCTCTTGTGAAGGAGGGCAAGGAATTCAGTCTCCTCCAACTCAAACCCATCCCAGTCTTCCTGACCTGTCAAAGTAGACAGAAAACAGGCCTCAGCCTAAGAGGCAGAAGGACTATATGGCCCATCCCAGGCTCTTCAGAGTTCTGTCTACACCTGGACCTTCAACTCTAGCATGAGGGAGCAGGAGAAAACCTAACGAGTGTTTGATGTGGATGCTATAGATTAGGCGAGTAGAGGAGCTCCAATTTTCCCAGCTTTTGCAACTTTAACACCTCCACAACAATGATGGGACAGGGAAAGAGACTGGTAACAAAAGTTTATGACCTGGAGTTCAGGGTTGTTGAACAACCAATCTAGTTATACCACATGAGAAGATTTTAAAGACATTCTTTAACAAGACTGGCCTGACAGAGCTGCCAGCTGGTCAGGTGACAGAGGCACAATAGCTGTTAGCCTAGGCCATTCTGATGCCAACTTCTGCAGATATATAGTCACCCTGCCTAGCACTATGGGTTCACTCACGTAATGAAGTCCAGGAAGCTGGCGAGCGGCTCATAGGCATGGTTTCTCATGTGGCGGAACTCCACTACCATCTTCTCCTTGAGCCTGTCATCGATGACTGACACCGTCAGAGGTGATGCTTCATTGGCCAGGAAGTTGCCATAATCTGTGCTCTGCAGGTGCAGCTTCAAGTCTGAAATCCAAGGGCAGATGAAAGGCGCTAGGTTTTGTGAAACTTACCCAGTGCCCTAAGTTTCCATCTCTAACCAACACTGGGCCCAGTTCCTTCCATGAAATTGCATCCTTCTGGCACCCTGACTTCCATTGACCTATTGGCTCAGTACCAATTTACAAAGTAGTCATGCTAAAGTCTAGATGCTCCAGACCCTAGGAACAGAAGCCAGCATGCTGAGTCCTAGAGTACCAACATAAATGGAATAATTGTACACCAAGATGATGAGGTTGGGAAACCTCAACACAAGGTGACATTTACAACCTGTAGCCTTTGAGACCCTGATTCAGAACAGAATATAACATGGGCTTTGCTCTCTAGGGCATCAGGATTGGAGGGGCAAAACATTCAGATATAAGACATATTAAAAAAAATACCTAAAGCCGTGGGGGGTAGAAAAGAGAAACAGCACAAAAATATGGCTGAGCAGAGAAGGCCATGCTGGGCTTGGCTACAGCAAAGGGCAGGGACTAGGAAACATTAAGGAAACAACCAGGACGCGGAGCGAGTGAAGAGGGGTTTGAGGGGTAAATGTGTGCCCTGGGGAATGGCTTCCCTTAGCGGTGGCTGGAGGCAGATAGGCTAATACTATGAGTCCTCTTGAGCTCTTAGAGACACAGGTGATAGAATATGATTTGTCCCTGCCTATTCCTCACACAGTAGTCAGTGATTGTGCTATCTTTGAAATGCTGGGAACTGAACTTGGGGCTTCATACATACTAGGCAAGTATTCTTTCATTAAGGTAGTCCCAGGTCTGTTTTATTATTTTATCTTATTCGTGTGTGTGTGTGTGTGTGTGTGTGTGTGTGTGTGTGCGCATGTACATGGTTTTACAGGTCAGAGGAAAATCTTGGATATCATTTTTCAGGCTATATCTTTTGTTCTAGACAGGGTTGTTCTCTGGTCTAGACCCTGACAACGTAGGATAGACCAGTTGGCCAGTGAGCTTATAGGGACTCACCTGCCTTGCCTCCCATCTCACTGGTACAAAAGTACATGCCACCAAATCCATTGTTTTACACAGAGTCTGGGGATCTGAAGTCAGGTCATCAATGCTTATGAAGATTTACCAATTGAGCCATCTACCCAAGTCCCTTATTTTATTTATTTTTGTTTCTTCAAAATACAGTCTCACTATGTAGCTTGGCTGCCTGGTCATTATGTAGACCAGGCTGGCCTTGAACTCATAGATACCCCCTGCCTCTGTCTCTCAAATTCTGGGATTAAAAGCATGTACCACTATGCCTGGCTGCTTTGAAACATGATCTTGTTATGTAGCACAAGCTGGCTTGGAACTAACTGTGTAGACCAGACTAGCCTCAAATGTTTTCAATCCTCCTACTTTAACCTTCCAAGTGCTAATGTTGAGATTCCAGTCATGAACCACCACAATCAGCTTAGAGTGATCTGTTTTTAAAATTTTTATTTATATATGTATGGGGATGTGGATGAGTGCTTACATGTTCCCCGACATGCAGTGTTATTTTGCACCTACAGAAATCAAAGGACTCCTGCAGAAGCTGGTTCCTTCTTCCGCCACATGAGTTCCAAGTATTGAACTCAAGCTGTCAAGCTTGGTGGTGAGTGCCTTTGCCTGCTGACAGTGGTCCTCTGCCTCAGTCCCTCTCAGTTGGCCTTTAACTTCAAGTGGGAGTCCCTGCTGAAATGGAGCCCCATCGAGTTGCCCACAATCGCTTCCTTGCTTCTCTCCTCCTCTTGACTCCAGGCACATCCTCCTGTCAGGGTCCTTTCTCTGTTCCCTAGCCTGGTCCTTCAGACCACTTCTTAAACAAAAGAGCTAAAACCTCTTCTGCCATCTGGTACCTAATCCTTCACCTGTGTCATTTTTCTTTGAAGCACTTGGTCCTACCCAGTGCAGGACATATAAACTCTATATAAGGATAGAGACTCTGGCCCAACGTGGTACTCTAGAGCCTAGAACAGAATAATAAGATGAGTGTTTATTTATGCTATGAAAACTACTGAAAAATGCATGAAAAATTGGGAGAGGTTGGGTGAAGATGGCAGGAAAATTACTCCTAGGTTTATATGGGGGTCACTGTGGTTACAATGGAAGTATCAAGGCCAGTGGCTGAGAAAAACATCTACTGGAAATAAGACCAAGGATTCCCCAGGTGCTCTGAGAGAATGGAAAGTGGATAACTCGTCCATAGACTTCAGGCACCTCTCTGATGCCCTCCTACTTAATCACTTCAAAAGTCTCCATGGGTGGTGGTGGCACACGCCTTTAATCCCAGCACTTGGGAGGCAAAGGCAGGTGAATCTCTGAGCTCAGGGTCAACCTGGTCTACAAAGTTACAGGACAGCCTGAGATACCCAGGGAAACCCTGTCTCGAAAACAAAAGAATGTCCCAATGGTGTTTGGCTTTGTGACACAACCTTTAATCCCAGTACTCAGGATGTAGAAGCAGGAGGATCTCTGTGAGTTCAAGACCAGCCAGGTCTACTTAGTTAAACTCTGTCTCAAAACAAAAATGAATAACAACAACAACAACAACAACAAAGAATGTCCACTTGCAGTCAAGCATGCAAAAGGAGATGGAAGAGCAAAGGTGGCAGAATGTGAAGAGTGGGTACAAAAGTGCTGGAAGGGATTCTTTCCACCTCTATGTCTGGGGGCTGGTGACAGACACAACTTAGGTTTCTGTGGTCCTTAAGCACTAACAGAATGGACCTTAACCTCTAAAGGCCTACAGGAGGATCTACTGCCTTTGTGAGCACGTGCTCCAATGTCTCTGCACCAGGGCAGGTGCAAGTGCCCTGCTAAGGGGTTCTGTTCTTCCCTATTCTCCCAATCTGGCTACTTTGAGAGTAAGGCATAGGTAACAGAAGGTATTCAAGTCAGAAATGCTTGGGTTGTTGTAGTATTTCAGATAGGTTTTGCAGAAAAAGCCTACTTCTATTGATAGCTACTGCCATAACAGTATATTATCCGCATTTCCACCTCCACATTGTAATAACCTTGAGACTGGGCAAGTATACAATCTTTTTTTTAAAAAAATGGAGCTGAGGCTGTAGCTCAACTGGCAGAGATCTTACCTAGCATATATGAAATCCTGGGCTCAATCCCCAGCACTATACAAAACCAGATATGATGGCACATGCCTATAATACCAGCATTCGGGAGGCAGAGACAGGTGGATCTCTGTGGGTTTGAGGACAGCCTGGTCTACAAGAGCTAGTTCCAGGACAAACCCTGTCTTGAAAAAAACAAAACAAACAAACAAAGACAAAAAGAATCAGAAATAAGCACGGGGGAGGGCACACAACAACAACAGACAAACAGACATAACACTCACGTCTTAGAACCCTTGTCTAGTAACTTCTTACAGTGCACAGCCATGCTGCTTCATAAGTCTGTCAGCTTTCTGAATTACTCTGAGAAGCGTAACTTTTCCTTTTCTTCTATCTTACAGAAGCATATCTTCCTTAACATTTTGGGTTTCACTCTTCTAATGCCCCATTTCCTACCATGGAGCTGTAAACAAACAAGGCTGTTTTTTCTTTTCTTTTTTTTTTTTAAAGATTTTTTTTATTTATTATGTATACAACATTCCTTCCATGTGTGCCTGCAGGCCAGAAGAGGGCACCAGTTCTCATACAGATGGTTGTGAGCCACCACGTGGTTGCTGGAAATTGAACTCAGGACCTCTGGAAGAGCAGCCAGTGCTCTTAACCTCTGAGCCATCTCTCCAGCCCAAGGCTGTTTTTTCTTTTCTAGTCTTCTCCAGACAGCTACTGAGATTTACAACTTGGTGCTCTGGGGTTTTTCTTTGAAACTCTGATAAAATAAAAACTCTCTTAAATTTGCCTTGGGCATTGGTGGCACATGCCTTTAAACCCAGCAGGATTAATTAATTAATCAGGAGGCAGAGGCAGGTGGATCTTTAGGCGTTTGAAGCCAGCCTGGTCTACAAAGCAAGTTCCAGGACAGCCAGGGCTGTTATACAGAGAAACCCTGTCTCAAAAAGCAATAACAGTAATAATAATAAATAAAATTTGGCTTTGCTAGACTTTCCAAAAAGGTCATTGATGCCTCTGAAATGTTTTTTGTGGCTATGAAACAAATGGTTAAAAATATCAATGGTTAAGAGCACTGGCTGCTCTTCTAAAAGTCCTGGTTTCAATTCTCAGCAACCACATGGTGGCTCGCAACTGTCTATAATAGGATTGGATGCCCTCTTCTGCCATGCAGGAATACATGCAAGTAGAACACTCATATACATAAATAAATCTTTAAAAAATAAGCAGTATTACAGGTACTGAAGTGAAGCAAACTTGTTCATGCTCTGATTTATATATATTGTATCTACCAATAAACATATTGCTACTGGAGGGTGTGAGGGAGCACAGTCAAGGAGTTCTGGTCCAGGGCCTCCAAGAGCCCAAACTTATACTAAGAGAAGTTCCAGAGCTGAAAACAGAACTGGTATTCTGGTTTAGACCATCAGCTAGGCCAAACTGTCCATTTATCCATGCAGCCACTGAGACAGCTTAAAGTGCTCTTCAAGCCAAAAGACTTTCTCTTCAGCTCACAGCTTGGGTCTAGAGACCAAGACAGAGGCACAGGAAGACCCCAGGGCAAAACTCAATCCTCTGACTGGAATGCCTCCTTGTCAGTGGCCCCATTGGTTCCTAGGGTAGCAAGCATAGCCTCAAACCATAGTCAACCCACGCCCTCATCCCTCAAGCCTACAGCATTAAGGATCCAGGCCTCTGCACATTCTGCCCTTTGGTGCTCTGGCGTAAGCTCTGAGAGGATTCCCTAGGCAAGTTGTCACTTCTCACTGGGAACCCCAGTAAGCTGTCCAGTAGCATGAAACTTCTCTGTCCCAGGCTCTGCCTTGCATCACATGGAAATGCTTCCTATGTCTCCATTCTCTACAAAGGCTTAGTTCAGCAACTTCCCCACTGCCAAACACTTTCTTCTCTTAAACAA